GGACTCCAGGATCATGACCTGAGCCGAAGGCAGTTGCTCAACCAACTGAGCCACCCAGGCGCCCGTTTCTCATGTATTCTTATTTGTAATAGCAGTATGTTGTTTATTGATATCTACCTTGTACTAAGTGCGCTAATATTTTTACCAATTGCTTGTATTATTTATCAATGTCACACATGAAATTTTGGGAAGGAATATTATCCCTTCATTTGGAGATTTGCCTATTGCATATTCAAAACTAAATTGTTTCATTATACCACAAATCTATATGAAAAATGAATTATCACTGCTGTGTTTTTCTTCATTAACCATGTAGGTTCTCCAGGTCTTAAAGGTGATAGGGGAGCAATTGGCTTTTCTGGACCTCGAGGATTCCCAGGGCCACCGGGGAAGACCGGGAGGACAGGTATTGTGATGATGTATATTTTCTTTGTATACCAAAAGTAATGGCCATCCTAGTATGAATAGTAGACTCACATGAAGTTTATTTTGTGGTCTGAAACATGTTGAAACTAATTTCTCTCTATCTGAGGAAAGTTTCTATGCCCCAAAGGAAAATAGTCTTTAAGGGAAAAAAAAAAAAAAAAAGACGACAGGATTTATAAACTCTCCCTAACCATAAATCACATGAAGAATGGTGTCTATGTTAGAACAAAGAATGGAAAGACTAACAAAGAAAAACAAACAAGGAAAGTATAAATACCCTTTTAACCAAAACTGACCAAACCTTGGAAAGTTATAGTTAGCAATCTATGGATAGGTCAGAAATCCTATTCTGTGCAAGATAAACTGACTGCTCTTATATATTAGTTCTTAATAAACTACATTGTTCAGGTTCTTTAAAATTTATATACGTGATGACATTTTTTCTACTCCTTAGAAAAAGGCCGTAGCTTAAGCTTGAATTGTGAAATTTATGCAGAAGTTTTAGAAAGAGGCAGGCTTATTGTTTCCTAATTTCAAAGTGAAAGATGACTAAGAGAATAGGATCCTTATCATTGAGGTATTTTTTTAAAATAATTTTTTATTGTTATGTTAATCACCATACATTACATCATTAGTTTTTGATGTAGTGTTCCATGATTCACTGTTTGTGCATAACACCCAGTGCTCCACGCAGAACATGCCCTCTTTAATACCCATCACCAGGCTAACCCATCCCCCCACCCCCCTCCCCTCCAGAACCCTCGTTTGTTTTTCCGAGTCCATCGTCTCTAATGGTTCGTCTCCCCCTCCGACTTACTCTCCTTCATTCTTCCCCTCCTGCTATCTTCTTCTTCTTCTGGTTGTTTGTTTTTTTAACATATATTGCATTATTTGTTTCAGAAGTACAGATCCGTGATTCATCAGTCTTGTACAATTCACAGTGCTCACCATAGCATGTACCCTCCCCAATGTCTATCACCCAGCCACCCAATCCCTCCCACCCCCCACCACTCCAGCAACTCTCAGTTTGTTTCCTGAGATTAAGAATTCGTCATATCAGTGAGGTCATATGATACATGTCTTTCTCTGATTGACTTATTTCGCTCAGCATAACACCCTCCAGTTCTATCCACGTCGTTGCAAATGGAAAGATTTCATTCTTTTTGATGGCTGCATAATATTCCATTGTATATATATACCACTTCTTCTGTGTCCATTCATCTGTCAATGGACATCTTGGCTCTTTCCACAGTTTGGCTATTGTGGACATTGCTGATATAAACATCAGGGTGCACGTACCCCTTCGGATCCCTACATTTGCATCTCTGGGGTAAATACCCAGTAGTGCAATTGCTGGATCATATGGTAGCTCTATTTTCAACTTTTTGAAGAACCTCCATACTGTTTTCCAAAGTGGCTGCACCAGCTTGCATTCCCATGAACAGTGTAGGAGGGTTCCCCTTTCTCCGCATCCCCGCCAACATCTGACGCATGAGAAAGTGCTCAATATCGCTCAGCATCAGGGAAATCCAAATCAAAACCTCAATGAGGTATCACCTCACACCAGTCAGAATGGCTAAAATTAACAAGTCCAGAATCATTGATTTTAATACTATTTCATGAGTAGACAGAAGAAAAGCGGCCCAGGATGTAGCCTTAAGTAGTGAAGGTACAGGCTGAGCAGGAAGAACAAAGCAGTGGACTGAACAGAAGCAGCCAGAGTGACGAAGAAAATCTGGGGAAGGAGTGATGAAAAAGTCAAAGGCGAGAGGGTGTTTTAAAAGGTGGTCAAGGAAGATGAACTCTACAGAAAGCTCTTTGCATTGCTGCTGTAAGGACTTTGCCTTATTGAGAGACGTTTCAGTGGGGTGAGTGGAAACCAGATCAGGGATGCTCAGAGATGAACTGCGGGTGAGGATCAGGCAAGGAGGAGAAGCCAGTTCTTGAGCGATCTGACTCTCAGAGAAGAAAGAAGTCAGTTGTTTGTTGCGTTTTCTCATTTGATTTTTTTTTCTTTGAAAGAGATTTAAATACTATTTAAATGCTGATGATAAGATAAAGGAATGGTTGAAGAGACAGAGGAAAGGGTAAGGTTAGTGAGAAGGTTGAAGGTGGAGACTTCAGGAAATGAGAAACAGCTGTAGGCTTAGGATGGAGGATGGTCACATCTAAATTGAAATCGCTGAACTCATGATTCCAGGGTCATGGGCACCTTGCTCACTGGGGAGCCTGCTTCTCCCTCAGCCCGCCTGCTCCCCCTGCATGTGCTCAGTCTCTCTCTGATAAATAAATAAGTAAATAAATAAATAAATAAAATTTTTAGAGCTCAGGTCATGATCCCAGGGTCCTGGGATCGAGCCCCGCATCGGGCTCCTTGCTCAGCCTGGAGTCTGCTTCTCCCTCTCCCACTCCCCCTGCTCGTGTTCCCTCTCTCTCTGTCTCTCTGTCTCTCTCTGTCTCTCTCTCTGTGTGTGTCAAATAAATAAATAAATAAATCTAAAAAAAAAAAGAAATAGCTAAACAGCTGGGCTAATTATGACAGGTCTGTAAAAATAACTAACCTAGCGTCTAGCTAATAGAAGGGGCACTAAAAACATTTGAAATCATAATGATGTTATTGAAAATACCTCCCCTTATATTTAGTTAGAATGTCAATTTATTACATACTATTTCTTATTTTTCAATGGCCTTCAGAAATACAATTCCTTATTTTTGATTGAAGAGTGTCATTTATAAAGGAGATTAACTCCAGGTTTTGACAAAGCTCTTGGGCTCCATTTTTAGCAAAAGGACCATTCTAAAGGAGGAATACACCCCTGTTCTCTAGCAAGGATGTTTTTGATGTGTTCACCTGTGAGAAAAAATTTCCAAGTGTCCTCTGTGAGGAGATCTCTGAGTCAGGCTAAAGTGACATAAGACATTTGTATTTTTTGATAAGAAGATTTTATTATTTTTAAAAAAGTGGTATAAGATAAAAAGGCAAAATTAAAAAAAAACTGATTTTTTTTTATTTATCATAGGAACCTAGAGCTATCAGGATTTAAGTGAGTCATTTGCTCAGTGCCCTGGCTAGAGCAAGCATTTCTATTCTTAAACTATCCAAAACCAGTTGTGCTATAAAAAGACTCTCAAGAATAATGTACAGCCTCTTCCTTTTTACTAAATAATGCTAAAATGATCAAATTTATTTATTACATTATCTTTTTGTAAAGAATTAGAACTTATCATTATTATATCCTTTTAAATCCCCCCTCTCCCAATTTTTGTTTAATATCTTAGACTTTTCCTCTTGGGAATCTGAAACTTAGGTACTGTATCTCATAAAAGTATATCATCCAAAAAATAGGAAAGGTTTTGAGTACTTTTATAAATTAATGATTTTTTGCCAATTTCACATTACCTGAAATGACTAAATCACAATTAAAAAGTGAATATAATTATGTACAGTGTACTCATATATGCAAAACGATTAGAGGCATTCTCTATCATACACGGATAAGGAATGGTTGGCATTTCATGAAATCTTCACAATAAAATTTTAATTGGAAACAACTTATGCTTTTTAAGTGCTCAATCTCAGTTCTCATGTTATCAGTGTAATTTTATATTTTTAAATTTGATAAATTGAGGATCAAAAAATCTTTAAATGGTAAATAAGAACAAATGTTCAAGAACAAAGACAGATGAAGACAAAGTAAAGTAAATTAGGGAAAGAAAGAAAAAAACAAAATCCAAATAAAATTTAAAACTTTAAAGTAAAATTAAAAATAATTGTACCATAAAAAGTGAACAGAGATGACAAAGTCCTCTCTCATTCACTGAGAATAAAATGACAGAGAGACCATTCTAGCTAAGCTTTGGAAGATGTAAAACATAAGAGCTACCATCTCTTCTATTCATCTCTTTATGGGCAAGATGCTTTATAAACATTGTTGCTAATTTTTAAGGTAACTGTGCAATGGAAGGTGTTATTTTTTCATTTGATAGAAAAATAAGCTTTTAGTTCAGAAAGGTTTGAAAACTTGTTTTGAGCCACATACCTGGTAAGTAGCAGAGCAAAATAATTCAAATAGAGATTTCTAAAATTGCTGTTAGTATGCTATTACAAAGCCATGGATTTAAAACTATGTCCTCTGAGCTCCTGGATGAAAAGACAGAGGGTCTTGATTTTGTTGGGGGAAGTCAAGAACATTAACAAAGATTCTGACTTAAGAGAGTACTAAGATCAGCCCTACATTTATGCCAAGAAAGGTGATTACTTGCAAGGTAAATATTTGAGGAATGTTGGAAGAAGAATCAATAAACAAGAATAGCCTCACTCTCAGGAGATGACATGGTTACCATTAAAATCTTTTTGTTGGTACTAAGAGGTGATCTTCTGAATATACCTTCGAAAGTGGAGCTGTGCGTGAATAGTCATCAAAGGTCTTAACAATGTTTCCAGTACCTATTTGAAGTCCTGACCCTCAAATCAAAGGATAGCATTTGTACCATACCCTTCTGTACATGGGTGAGGTTTCTCAAAGCCAAAGGAAGTAGCCTATAGGCTTGGATGCCCTTGAGACCTTCCAAGCTTCCCCCAGGATGAGGTCATCAGGATCTTAGCATTCTCAGAAATTCATTCACAGCCCATCTTTGGGATTCTCCCCTCTAAAGAAATGGAAAACCAGATAAAGTGTAATGGGAAATACAGAATCATGGTTTCAGATGAGATGATAGGACATGAAACTTCCTGGAGGAGGGAGAAAAGCAAAGTCAAAGAAGAGGAAAAAACAAGAGAAATAAGCACAAAAAGTGCTGTACCTCAGTTTTGTCTGCTTTAGGAAAATGGGATATTTAATGCCTTTATAAATAATTTGAGATAATGGATGAAGGGACTTACTCAGAACAACAACAGGTTTCTAATAGGACTTTTAAAATGATAGTCATTACATCTGAAACTAATGATACACTATCTGTTAACTAATTGAATTTAAATAAAATAAGTTTAAAATTTTTTTCAATAGTGAAAATAAAATGATAGCCATTATTATTATTATCAACATCAACATTATTGTATTTGAATACAGTAGGTTATGGTAAGTTGATATTCCGGGTTACCTTGTGATGCTCTGTCTCCATTTAAAGCAATTCATTTTTGTCTCCATTTACAACTATTTTTTTTAATAATTAAATTGCCCTAATTACGAAAAAAAAAATGTTGCTTTTTGTTTGTTTGTTTTCAAGGAAATCCTGGACCAAAAGGCCAGAAGGGGGACAAAGGGAGTGGAAGCATACTAAGTAAGTTTATGTTGCATTGTTTTTATGTGTGCCTTATAATAAACAAGCCTGTGATCATAGTGGTCTGGGCTCGAGGAGAGTGTGGGCAACTTCAGCATCAATCCATAGAGGTTCTGTGGAAGTCAGCCACAGTTTTCTCCAAATAAAGCATGCTAATTGGAGTAAAACAAATAGATTAAATTATACAACTCTGATTCTCATTACCCACTTGTATTTTGTTTTCCTGATGAGCACAGTTTTCTAAAAATTCCACATAGAAAATTGTTCAACTTTCAAGCCACTTTCAATCTACTGAAGGAAAATCAAGTTTATGAATAGAAACAATTGTATCCTCCTTACCTACTGACTGAGCGAACTGAAAGACTCCAGCTAGGAATGTGGACAATCTGAGAACCCTGGACTACCAATTCTCTGATGGCTGGTGTTTTTGTGTTTTGTTTTGTTTTACTAAAAACTTGAAAAGTTGTGTTCTATATCCTAGACTTTCAAAATTGCAGCAGAATAGATTTGACACAAGGAACTCTGTTGATCGGATGCTGACCTCATATACATTGGCCCTTAAAAACAGAGTATTAGATGGAATGTCTTCAATATGCCACACTCTTAAGTCAGTTGTTGTGTATTAGGCTGAATCCACACAGATCAAGTGAAAGGATTATGAAAAGGAACTGAGGAATCCCCCCTCCTGCCTTCCCAGTAGGAGCTGCATGTGATGTGTGCCTGTCTGGGGATAACCGTCACTACACACACACACAGTGATCTTAATCTCTACCCAAACAGCATCTGCTTTAGACAGATTATGGCTAATTCTTTAATGTACCAAAAACCTAGCATTTTTCAGTTGTAGTTATTATTTAAAAATATAGTACCAACTTCTCTCCCTTATGGCAGAAGTAATTATTTTAATCTGTAGTGTGTATGGATACGGCCCTTAGACAATTTAGGTTCACCACCTTGAATGCCAGCCCCATTCAAGTACATGCTTTTCACAATTGTTGCATTGTTGATGGCTCTTGCCCCTAAATTGAACAACATTATTGTGTGTCTCCTCACAGCGCTTTAGCATCTTTCAGTGATTATTAGCGTTGTTACTATTATAGTAAGATAATGGAAACATTAGTGTACCTTATCTCCTTCCTGTCCATTTCTTTCATGTGATTACTTTTGTCTGCTGTAATACTTTCTATCCTACCTGGTCTCCTTTCTCCTTGTCACTCTGGTTACTTTCACTTGAGCTCATTGTGTAACTCTTTTCTCTATCTTCCTGTTTATCTCTGTCTTTATCTCTGCCTTTATCGTTATCTTTGAAGCAGTTTTTATCTCTTTTTCTCCTTTTCCTGAGACCTTCCTGAGCTACTTAACCTTGACTCTGGGTAAGTTTGGCAAGTAAAGAACTTCTCTATTTTGTAGTCTTTTAAACTGAACACGCACCCGGTCTTCTGGTACCTGAGGTTATCAAATGCTTTGAATGTTTTTTTTTCAGATTTGTTCAGAAATGTTTTCAGCTATAGGTATTTTCTGGCTGTTTTGAACTTTATGCTCATACTTTCTTTGTGAAAGCAACAATAGAGATATTTCTGTGTATAAGTGTTTATGGCCTCCAGATTTCCCTCCATGCACTCCCCCTCTAGAGAGTATATATAACTCCATAATGTTTCCAAAAGAAAGAATCATAGACACAAACATCTATACAGTATGTTCTGCTTTTACTTGATTGAAGGTAATATGTCAGTCACTTGCCCATGTCAGGACATGTGGCTCTAGCTCTTTTCTCTCAATGACTATGCAGTATTCCATTATATAGCTATACCATAGTGCCCATAATACATCAGTCTATTCCCTCGTCATGAACACTTGATGATTTTTTTGGCCATGATTTGGCTTTAATAAGAAGTGCTACATTCAGCAGTCTCATACATGACCTTGTGGAACTATTTCATAATAGAGAATTTGCTAGGAGTAGAGTCAGTAGTTCAAAGGTGACATGCATTTTCCAATTTGATGGTTTCTTGTAAATGGCTCCAAAAAGGTTGTACCAATTTATTCTGCATGAAAGTGCCTGATTCTCCCCGTCTTCAGTTAGTTCTGATAAATAATAATTTATATTGAGTTATTTTAATACACAATTTTAATATTTTTCAGGCATGATTTAAATATAAAAAGAATAATCACTGATTTCCTCTTTTATATATATGTCAGCACCGGTACAACCCCCTGATCGTATTTGGGCAGGGCCCTTTTAAGATCAGGTGGGTTGGGCAAGATACCCTCTGCTACCATCTCATTAAAAGGCCCTTCACCTCTGGACAAGTCATCAGCACAACCAACTCCAAGATCCCTTTGTGGCTCCTCCAAATGGCTTTGGTTCCTGTGTGGTGTGCAGCTTCCCCATGGCTTTCTCTCCTGGTCCTTTGTACTGTTTGGGCCTCTGTTCCCATGTTCCTACCTCTCGCCACTCCAGTACCTCACCATCACCACCGTCTCCTAGCGCCCTTAGCTGGGATGCCTCCTATGCACTGACTGGTGGGCCGCTCAGGCCAGTTCTCAGAGCCAGGCCAGAAGCCCTCTGCCATCCACTCACCTTATGTTTTTTGAACCCAGTTTAACCCGTTGGGTTCTAGGAGACATCTCTTGGATACTGATTCTATGTGGGTTCTTGACATTTAAAAACAATACTCTCAATAAATGATAGGATACATAAAAGAAAATGCATTTGTTAATTCACTCATTCATTCACTCAGCGTATGTTCATTGCATACCTCCTGGAGCTGGACATAGGAGCTAATAAGATGACTATTGCCTCTCACCTTACGGAGCTAATTGTCCCTGGAAGCCCTAGACATGTAAACGGGCAATTCTACGATACAGCAGAATTATGTAAGGGGAGGAATAGGGCTCTAGAGGTGTTCAGAGGAGATCAAGATTATTAAATTCCTTAAAATATTAAAAAGTAAATTGATTTTGATTAGCTTAGTTTACCTTCTTGTCTTCTTATTCTACAAATTACAACCTTTTTTTTTTTTTCAAGTTTATAGTGAAGTAAAGTAGAGCTTGGACAGTTCATTCAACACATTTAGACCAAAAAATAGAACTTGTTTCCTTAAATGACCTGGCTATCTGAAGCAAGAATATTTTGATCATGAAAAAATAACACTGAAATGTTTTATTCTAAAAAGCTCCTTGTATCTTATACCTTAAATATCAATTATAGATCCTGAAGATGAAATATTTCAGTAGATCTGGAGATATTTTGTGTAGGTGAAGAAAGGGATAAAAATGAGAAAGGAGACAAGGTAAGAAAAGACAGACCAAAAAAGAAAAAAAAAGGAACAGGGAAGATGTAGGGTAGTGTGATATTTGTGTAGGTCTCTCTATTAATTAACAGATCACATTGTCACACCTCTCGTTTCCTTCAAGGTTTACACATAGACCCAAGCTTCATAGTCTTAAGTTTCTAGTAAATTCTGAGTCGTGTGTGCATGTGTCTCTTAGCCCTTCCATTCCCTCTCCTGTAAAAAGGACATCGTGACACCTACCTCACAGGGTTGTTGTGAGGATCACATAAGGTATTGTGTGGGGAAGGATGCTCTGTAAAACCATAAAGTGCTTTAAACACAGGGGTACCCTTCACAGTGGTCTCTCTGAACTGGAACCGCTCTTCCTTGCTGGTATTGTGCAGACATGTAAAATCTGTAATCAGGGTAGGAGGGAAAGCAAAATGAAAATGCGAGAAGCCAAATAAATGTCACAGACAAAAAGAGCGATGCTAGAGAATAAGATAAGATTTTACGATAGATAGAGCAACGCGAGTGTGACCAGATCACAAATCAATGAGTTTGTCTGAGCCGAGCTGAAGAACATAAGTTATAAATAAAAGAAGCGACTCAACAGAGTGCATGCCAGAGGCCAGAAGCTGTCAACAGAGGTCAGAACAAAATGTCAGCCTAATAAAACAAGAATCCAGGCTCTGAAGGACAAAGCAGGAGCCCAAGACTGTGCTGATGAGAAAGCGCCAAGAAAGGTTGAAACGAATTAGAATGGTCAGTGGTACTCTGGGTCTGCACCTGTGTGACACCAGAGTCTCCAAGAAAAAAAAAAATTAAAAAAAAAAGAGGAGGTAGAGGAATCAGCCAGTCTTCAGATGGTCCTTATTATTAGAAAACTGGCAATGTTGACTAGTCCATGAATGCAAACACGTGGAGATGAGTTGGATCTCTTTGTCCATGGTTTAATCAGATGTGACTCCCTACGCTGCTCTGCGCTGGGGGACAGCTAAAACCTGGGGAGCCTCTTCTCTTGCTAGCAGCCGTTGGTCGACATTGGCCACAGCATGACCTTAATCCCAGAGATCGTGGAAGAAAATTCCAGGGGGACTCAGTTCACAAGTTGTCTGACAGCCCAGACCACAGATTAGGGGAGAAGGGCTTCTCTTCTCTGTTTAGACAAAAATAGATGCCGAATGCCCAGTTCAAATGCACAAGTTATACCAACTTGAGTAATGTGCAGTGAAGAGAAGTCTACCCCAAGCTCTCATGCTTGTCACAAGGGTTTGTCTGCTCTTTCTCACCCAACTTGGAAGGGTGTTTCAGTCAAGCAAAAACAATTCCTGCTGTACAATTAAACACTTTGTGTGAGGCTCTGTCCTAAACATACCAGTTAGCAATGTGTCATTGGTTAGTATTTCTTACTGTGCTTTGTTCATGCTGATAATTAGGATGTGAATTTAAGGTGTCTTATTTTGAAACTCATACAATGATATGAAATATCAATTTGTCTTCCAGTTGATTTCTACTGAGGACTCAGCACGATATTAAGTGATTTCTGGTCTTTCTCAAAGCATTCATTTGACCAAAGTCAAACCTTCTCCTCCAAACACTAAATAATTAACAACAATGAACATTTAGAGAACACTGGCTGTGCACTAGGGGCTTTTGACACATTCTCTTATTTAAACCTCAGAAGAGCCTTGGAGGTAGGTACTATGATTATTCCCATTTTAT